TTGTGATGGTGATGATGGGACATGAAGTTATGGACAGTTCTCTCTGCTTCCCGCTCCCACCGCTGTTGTTTGACTGCTTTCTGCCACTGTCCTTTGTGAGAGCTCTTTACTGTGACCTCCTCTTTCCATGATCTTTTGTAATTTAAAAAAAATGTTCTTGCCCAGGGGAGGCATCCCATCTTTGTTTTCTCAACTCAATGTGTCCAAACACAGTCCAGGCAAGCAGCCAAAGGCTTGTTGCAACACAGCTGATAGCAGCAGCGAATGGGTAAGCAAAGTAACAGAGTTTATAGTCCAGCACTGACTTTGCTTAGCAAGCTTTTTAAGTCCCACACAAAGTTCAGTCACAAGCTTCAGGTCTGGCAAGAGGGCTCAGCAATATATAAGTTGAGTCAATTGTATCCAGAGTCAACAATGCAGTCTAGGTCAAGCACACAGTTCATGGACATAACAGGGAGCCAGGTAGGTCAGATAATCTCCAACAACTCCTGGAGAATAGGGCTGCAAATTTATACATTTCCTATAAATCCTCTGAAACCTCCTGAAGGACCTGAAGCTTGTGACTTTGTTGTTGGAGGCAACAAAGGTTTCCACGCAGCAAGGGTAGATATGGGTCAGTGGTCTTCTGTATCTGAATGGGCAGGACTCTGATTAATAAAATAACTCTGAATTTTTAAAAAAGTGGGGTTAAAGTTACCATGCCAATATAAAAATAATATAAGATATAAAAGGAGCAATAATCAGGGTCTATTAAATCAATGGAAAACATTATCTATAAGGGACGAGTTGTATTGTGTACCAAGTATAAGAATGTAAATGAAGGAAGCATTCCTAATATTTAGGTAACATTTAGGTGGAATCTTTTTTTTTCTTATAATTTGCTCTAGCATCACCTAGATATCTCCATGCATAAAGTGCATCATCTACAATTTGCAACCATGCACAACGGTGCCACATGAGCAACTCTGCTTTGTTCTGAATATTGCCTGAATAAGGAGTGGGAAATGAAATGCTCCAAGCATCTTTCCAAAGTTGATGCCATTGAAACTTGATTCTCGCCAACTTTTGTTTGTTGGTTTCAAAGTTCTGCACTAGTTCAACCGTGACTAGCTTTAATTTGTTCTTGTTGTTAACACATTGGAGCTTTTCGAGCTGAAAAAAAAATCAGTCTATAAATAAAGAGATGAAAATACACAGTGGGAGAAGTCAGCAAACAGAGATGGGCAAAGGAGGTGGGGGAAGAGTATCAAAGAGCAAATCTGAAGTCTTGGAGAGCAGAATTTCTGAAAAGTTTCCAAATGATCCCTACTTCTTTTTTCTTTTCTCTCTTTGGTACGTGAGACTTACAAGACTTACTTTTGTAAGGAAGACTTTTTTGATCATGCTTCTGTTGACCAAATTTAATGCTGCCTTCTGTTGTAATAAACACAGGGTTGAGAGGGGTTTTCTGTTCCCTAAAGACATCAAGAAAATTCATTTCCATCCTACTCCTGGAGCGTGCTCTATTTGAGTTGCTGTTCCAGGATTGGATTAACGCATATGAGAGTGGGGAATTGCAAGGACGCAGAGTGGATTGTGGGTACTCTATCATTCTAGCAGCAACTGGTAATTAATGTTCTGGATTTGCCCTAAACATGTGTGCCAAAAAAGTTTACCTCTTGTATCAACAGTTTGCTTTGGAAATGCACATGTCCTTTTGCTTCTTGACACCCCAAAGAGAGTGACATAAATGCTTCATCATAAAACTAAAATCTGTTGCTGCTCCCCTGATGCTATTGAATAAGAGAGTACAGTTGCCCCTCCCAATTCATGGGGGATCTGTTCTGGACCTTCCCCCCCCCCCCATGAAAATGGTGGCTTGCAAACATTTGAGCCCCATTGAAACTAATTGCATGCTCCTGTGGCACACGCGTGGAGCTGCGCACAGGCACGCACGCCCATTTTAAGTATAGCCGCTTGTCCCTCCCCACAAAGAGTGAGACCATGGACTCAAAGTCCATGAATGGGAAGGGACAACTGTCATTCTTCCCCATTCACAAACTTCAAGTCCACGGTCTCAGTCCTTTATGGACCGGCAAGTGAGAAGGGATAAAATAGCATGTGCACGCATGGCGCACATGCAGGGCCATTCGTGGGAGGGCACAGCTATTCAAGCCAATGGGTCTTGAATATTTGTGGTCTTTCGTTCTCATGGGGGGGTCCAGAACAGTTCCCCCATGAAAACAGAGGGGCGACGGTATTCCTTCCTTGGGAGAAATGCCCAAGAATTTCATCTGGATTTGTACGGCCTGTAGCTGAGATCCTACATCAAGATTAAATAAATATTAAATTATTTTGTCTTTTTAAATTATTGTAACCCAACTTGAATTCCATTGTGGGAGATATAAATCCTATAAATAAATAAATAAATAAGGTTGTATATGTAAATCTCTGCATTGTGCTACATTACACTTGTCTTAAATAGCAATGTTGCATGATCTGCCATGTCCTGCCTGGAGGAAGCCACCTCAGACAAAGAAGGGGAAGAGGAGAGCCAGGATGATGATGATGATGATGATGATTTTTAACCCTATGGTGAACCTATCATGGGGTTTTCTTAGGGTTTTTTTTAGAGGGGGTTGCCTTTGCCATACTCTGAGGCTGAGAGAGTGTGACATGCCCAAGGTCACTCAGTGAGTTTTTATACCCAAGCAGGGAATCCAACCTGATCTCCAGAGTCAGAGTCCAATGCTCAGACCATTATACCATGCTGGCTCTCTCACTCATTAAATTAGTTTCTGTTAGATACACACAAACCTAATTTGAAATCTCACTGAAGATGTATTCCTCTGCAAAAAAAAAAAAAAAAAAATGCTGTCCCCTCCTTCAGTCATTAACATTGTTGGTTGTCCTGAAACATTTGAGGACAACAGTTACCGAACAGAGTCTATTATGCATGGGATATTTTTAGATGTAGAACAATTGCTGCCATTAAGCTGTTTGCCAAGTGGCTCATTTTCACAAGGACACCATAGAGGAGACCACCAGAAAGGTAGATGAGCTACAGGGGCATCTATATCCAGGATGCAGTGAATTTGTTGATGTGTGCCTTCAAGACATTTCCAGCTTATGGCAACCCTAAGGCAAACCTATTGTGAGGTTTTCTTGGCAAGATTTGTTCAGGGGAGGTTCGCCATTGCCTTCCCCTGGGGCTGAGAGAATGTGACTTGCCCAAGGTCACCCAATGGGTTTCATGGCAAAGCAGGGAATCAAACCCTGGTCTCCAGAGTTGTGGTCCAATGCTCAAACCACTCCGTCACATGAATACATCCTATGTTTCCATGGATCTGTCCAAGGTGCTGAATATACTTGGGGACAAGACTTAAGCACCATGAAAAGCAATCTGCAAAAAAGTGTTTAAAAACTTCAGTTGCTCCAAAGAACTGGTGCCAGATTGCTAACTAGGGCTGGATACAGGGATCGCACAACTCCTCTCTTGCAACAGCTCCACTGGCTGCTGGTTTGTTTCCAGGCACAATTCAAAGTGCTGGTTATGACACTTAAAACCTATAACAGCTCAAGTCAAGGTTATTTGAAGGACCATTTTCTCCCATATAAGCCTG